TTTAATATCAATCAATTCATTCGCGGATGTAGAAGACTCGAAACAACTCCAGAAGTAAGCACGACGAAAATTTTAACAAAATTATGCAATAGCAACAAGATACGAAAGCAACAAGTAAACGCAGTGAATCCAAAAACACCAATAGATATACCACACCACACATCTACACAAACAGTACACATAACCTCACAGACCATTTCTTGATGTAATTCCTTTGAAGAATCGCAGGACTTACAGCAGTTCACCGGTAGCCCCTCCCAGGTTGACGATTCTAAGTTGGAAAATCGTCAAGTGGTTCATCCTCTGACTCTCGACTCTCACCACCTTCCAGCAAACACAGTTTCCTAATATCTCGCACCAACATGCAACAACTTGTTCTCACCTCGACCATCCTCACCAACCCATCACCACTACAGAGTACCCTTTCTATTACTCCCAAAGGCCATCTACTTGTGGCACATTTATTTGCTACCAAGACGATATCACTGACCTTTAAGTTTCTGCTCAACGTTTTCCACTTGTCTCTTGTTTGCAGTGTTAGGACATACTCCTCTAACCATCTTTTCCAAAACATATCTTTCGTGTACCTGGCTCGTTATCATCTTTTAATCGTAGGTATTCGTTCCGCACTCAAGTCTCCTATGCCAGGGTTACCTCACAATAACAATAATTTATTTGGGGTTAACACATCGAAATCCTTGGCGTCGTCCCTCACAGGTAATAGCAGCCGGTCACTTAGTATTCGTTCAACCTCACATAAAAATATCTCCAACATTTCGTCATTCAAACTTTGGTTTTTGATTATGGAGCTTAAAATACGCTTAATAACTCCTATAAGACTTTCCCATGGCCCACCTCTGTGGCTGGCATGTGGTGGGTTGAAGTGCCACTCAATTTTTCTTTACAATAACTCTTGATGAACTCTCGTTTGAGGACCTTCGAAATACTCCTTAAGCTCGGCATGAAAGCCAACAAAATTACTCCCTCTGTCACTGAACATCATCTTCGGTGCACCTCGGTGATTTATAAATTTACGTAATGCTAGGACGTATGAATCAGAAGTTAACGTATGAACTATCTCAATATACACAGCTCCCATTTTCAAACAGGTGAATAAGCAGCCATAACTCTTGCATAGGGTTCTGCCTCTCTTCACTACAAAAGATCCGAACAAATCCACTCCGACATACTCGAATGGATAATTGCCTTGAGAAACTTGCCGCGATGGGAGTGGTGCCTGTTGTGAACTTTTCTTATAATACGTATCTAATCATATTCCAAGAATTTAGGCTTTATTCTGTTTACAATGAAGCCGAAATGGCTTAAACGTATAAAGGAAAAAAAGCGTGTTATTAGCGGTAGAGATAGGAATATAATTAGTTACGTATTGTTGTGAATTTTTCTTATAATACGTATCTAATCATATTCCTATCTCTACCGCTATTAACACGCTTTTTTTCCTTTATACGTTTAAGCCATTCCGGCTTCATTGTAAACTGAATAAAGCTTAAATTCTTGGCTCATTCGTCTTTTCAAGATTCAAGCATCACTCATCGTTCTAAGACTCAGCCTCCTTCGTAACAATTTATTCAGTTTACAATATTCATGGAACGATTTTTCCGACCTGATCGGTTCGATGTGGAACCTAACGCAGTTGGAGCTGCCAAGAAGTGGGATCACTGGTTTGTGACGTTCTCCTACTTCATTGAATCAATGGGATCCGAAAATCCTTCGAAACTGCATACTCTTCAATCATATTTCTACTTCTGTATACGAATGCATTTCTGAATGCAAAACATACGAAGAAGCTATCGACACTTTCAAGAGTTGTTAGCAACGTGTAAACAAGAATCTGGCGAAAATCTGGATCAGTTTGTTCGTCGACTCAAGTCGCTGACTACAGATTGTTCATTCAGAGCGGTTACAGCCGAAGAACATCGTAACGAATCACTACGTGATTCATTCATCTCAGGTATACAGTCTTCGATGATACGCCAGAGGCTATTAGAACAGCGTACTTTAACTTTTCAAGCGGCATACGATCAAGCACGAGCTCTAGAGATGGCACATCAACAATCGCAGTCATACAACAATCCTGTTACACCTTGCGCGTCCATTTCTTTACATGATGTACCTCATTCATCAGATTCCACACCCTCCGTCAATGAAACAACCATTGCTGCCGTTGAATCCAAATGCTTTTTCTGTGGTAATCGTAGACATCCTCGTTCCAAATGCCCCGCCCGTGATGCAATTTGCAAAGCTTGTGGCAAGCAAGGACATTTTCAGAAGGTTTGCAGGTCTGCGCCATCTACGAAAAAAGGTCCATCTTCAGTTAACTCTATAATTTCATCTCTCGTTGTGGCTTCAGCACCTCAAAGTCTCACTGATGCTGTTACGCAGCTTACTGTCAATGGGAAATCAATGCAAGCTCTAGTGGATACCGCAAGCAGTGAGAGCTACATCTCTTCCTCAGTTGTTCGTAAGTATAACTGGAAAGTCCATAAGTCTCGAAACAGAATCACAATGGCGAGTACGAATCTTACTAGTCATACTGAAGGACATTGTTTTCTATCCATCTGCTATAAAAACCACACTTATGATCTATTCAAATTTTCCATTCTTCATAATTTATGTGCAGACGTCCTTCTTGGACATGATTTTTTAAAACTTCACAAACACATTGAGATTCCTTTTGGGGGATCAAAGCCGCCTTTTTCTCTCTGTGGTCTACCTTGTGTTCGCGTCGACCTGCCTACTCTGTTTGAAAATCTTTCAAAAGACTGTAAACCGATCGCGATAAAATCCCGGCGTTATTCTCGTGAAGATGAAAGTTTTATTTCCACCGAAGTCAACCGGTTACTGCAAGAAGGTGTTATTGAACCTTCTAATTCTCCTTGGCGAGCTCAAGTTCTTGTTACGTCAAACGAACGCCATAAAAAGAGGATGGTAGTTGATTATAGTCAGACAATCAATCGATTCACTTTTCTGGATGCTTACCCATTACCTAGGATTGACGAAATGATAGAAAAAATCGCACAATATGACATATTCAGCACTCTTGATCTGAAGAATGCTTATCATCAAATTGCCCTAAGGAACGAAGATAAACCATATACTGCTTTCGAGGCTTGTGGGAAACTTTACCAATTTTGCCGAATTCCTTTTGGTGTTACCAATGGCGTAGCTTGTTTTCAACGCATTATCGATGAATTGATCAGTAAAGAACAACTCACAAGCACGTTTGCCTACATTGACAATGTCACTATCTGCGGCAAAACTCAGGAGGAACACGACAAAAATCTAAACAAGTTTATGGTAGCAGCACGCAATTATGGAATAACCCTTAATGATTCCAAAAGTGTGATCTCAAGCAGAAGCATACAATTACTCGGTTATGAAGTTTCAAAGGGGTTATTAAACCAGCTAAAACCTCTTCGTGATCTAGAACCACCCACAGATATCAAATCTCAACAACGGGCCGTTGGATTATTTGCTTATTATTCACAGTGGATCCCTCGCTTCTCAGATAAAATCCACCCATTGGTAAATAATCGGATTTTCCCTCTTGATATCGAAACTCGAAATGCTTTTGACAAACTGAAAGACGACTTAGAACGTGCAGTCGTTGTGGTAGTTGATCCGAAAGCACCCCTTGTTGTTGAAACAGATGCTTCAGATGTCTCAATTGCAGCTACATTAAACCAGAATGGTAAACCTGTCGCCTTCTTTTCTCGAAGCCTCTCTCGAAGTGAGAAACATCATTCATCGGTTGAGAAAGAAGCCTATGCCGTGGTTGAAGCAATTCGTAAGTGGAAGCATTACCTTCTCGGAAATCACTTCAAACTTGTCACTGATCAACGTTCAGTAGCATTCATGTTTGACAAGATTCATAAAGGCAAAATCAAGAACGATAAAATAATGCGTTGGAGAATTGAGCTATCCCCTTATCAATATGACATCATTTATCGTCCTGGAAGGGATAATCAAGCTGCTGATACATTTTCCCGTAGTTTCTGCGGTTCCTTGCAGTCAGTGTGCGACTTGAAATTTCTCCATGACTCTATGTGCCATCCTGGAGTTGTCCGAATGATGCATTTTGTACGCTCGAGAAACCTTCCATTCTCCCTTGACGAGGTGCGCAATGTAACCAGTAAATGCGTGACATGCTGTGAGTTAAAGCCTCAATTTTACAATCCCTCTAATTTCAAACTCATAAAAGCAACCCAACCTTTTGAAAGGTTAAGCATCGACTTTAAAGGACCTCTACCGTCAGCTAGCCGCAATCACTATCTGCTCACGCTGATCGATGAATATTCTCGATTCCCCTTTGCATTCGCCTGCCCCGACATGTCGTCTCAAACGGTAATGAATTGCCTTTGCCAACTGTTTTCGATTTTCGGTATGCCTTCTTACATACATACCGACAGAGGCGCTGCTTTCATGTCTACCGAATTACGGGCATTTCTTCTGGAGAAAGGCGTAGCAACCAGTCGTACTACCTCATACAATCCTCAAGCCAATGGGCAGGTCGAGCGCCTCAATGGAACACTTTGGCGTGCCATCACTCTAGCATTAAGATCACGGGGCCTACCAACGGCACAATGGGAGTCTGTTCTACTCGACGCCTTGCATTCCATCAGATCTTTGCTCTGTACTGCAACGAACGCCACGCCACACGAACGACTGTTTACCTATAACCGAAGATCGACATCTGGGACAACTCTTCCTACTTGGCTCACTGTACCAGGACCAGTACAGTAGAGTGTTCGTCAGTCCAAATTCGATCCCCTGGTTGAAGAGGTGGAGCTATTGAATTGTAACCCGCAATTCGCTCACGTTCGCTTCGGTAATGGACGTGAAGATACAGTTGCTCTTCATCATCTGGCACCCAAAGGTGAAGATATTGATCAAGTTGAAAATTCAATACCGGAGGGCGACGCAATTCCTGAGCAACAAGTGAAGAAAATACAACTGAAACGAACAACGGGCGTTTTCCTTTGGAAAAACGTGTACGGCCTTACAATTTGCGTACCAGAGAAGCGTGGCATAATGGCTCATTCCTTTTCAATCGGCAGTGAATGTTGTGAAATTTTCTTATAATACGTATCTAATCATATTCCTATCTCTACCGCTATTAACACGCTTTTTTTCCTTTATACGTTTAAGCCATTCCGGCTTCATTGTAAACTGAATAAAGCTTAAATTCTTGGCTCATTCGTCTTTTCAAGATTCAAGCATCACTCATCGTTCTAAGACTCAGTCACCTTCGTAACAGTGCCATCATCTGCTGTGCTGAACGAGCATTTCGTAGTTTACATTCCATGCACTTATCAATTACTTTACGGACAGAAGTACCTGCTTTCACTATCCAAAACTTGCATCGAATACTTGATATTACTTGTGAAGAACCCAAATGACTTTCAAGAACATGGTAGTGTCTTATAATGAGATCGGTGACTGGATGGTAACAAGGTAATAAGGCTGGATGACGGGTCTCATATGACGACTTTAACATTTGTAGACGTCCATCAACTCTATTGGAGATAATGCATCTAACCGCACCTCGAAATCTGAGAAATCGGGACTATCTTCCTTGGTTATCCCACCCCACGCTTCCCACTGAGCAGCCCTTAAAATCTCTAACTCTGCATTTCTAATATCTTCGACTCTCAAAGGCCCCACATTCATATTGATGAATGACCTTTAAATACGTAACATATCGTGTCAACTACGCAACAGCCTTGTACCAAAAAGAATAATAGTTAAAAAGTGGATGTAAACCCGAATGTCTTTCTTGAGTAGATGTTAACCTGACATTTGTCTTAAATTCCAAGACACACTCACTTATCGGTGGTTCATCTTCTCTACTAGGCCACATACTATCAGCTCGTAGCAAGAACTCTGGACCTTTCCACCACTTATTTTTAGCCACATTCATATCAATAACTCCTCGCGAGGCTAGATCAGCTGGATTTTTTCCAGACGGTACGTACCTTCACTGCTCAGCAGTTGTTAGTTCACGAATTTGAGATACTCCGTTAGCTACAAAACACGCATATCTTGCTGACTCGTTGCGTATATAATGTATCACAGGCATCCAATCAATACAGAACGTCACAGGATACGTGGGATAATCTAACTCCTTACACACCGTTGTGAATAACTGCGCAGCTAGTAAGGCTACATTAAGTTCTAATCTCGGAATCGAAACTGTCTTTAGAGTTGCAACTCTAGATTTACCTACCACGAGGCGAACATCTACATCATCCCTTAAGGTGGTTCTGATGTAGGCGGCTGCTCCAAATCCAACCTCAGAGGCATCAGAAAAAACATGGAAGTCAATTATATCATGATTTCTCGATGGCTTAAGTGGACGTGAGAGAGAATTTAGATCCAGCCTTCTTAAATTGTTAACCCACCTTTTCCACTCTTCAGTGTGTCTCTCACTTAATGGGTCATCCCATTGTGACCCTTTCCTGCATGTCTCTTGAAATAATCTCGTCACCGGGAGTAGATAAGGTGCTACTAATTCCAAGTGGGTCAAACACGAACGACGACACAGAGAGCACACCTCTCCGAATGACTTGCATATCGATATCACCAACACTAAATCCAAAGGCATCAGAATTCACATCCCATCGCAAACCCAATGTGCGTTCAACCGGTATAGTGTCAGCAGGTAAATCTCGTACACTAGGTGCTCTGTCTTTTGGAACTATATGCTTCAAAACGTCTAGGCTATTCAAGACCCACTTAGTTAAACGAAAACCAGCCTTAGCTAACACCTTGGTAATGCTTGCTGCAAATTTGCATGCAGACTCATCATCATCGAAAGAGACTAAATAATCATGCACATAGAAGCAACAATCGATGATGTCCAGCAAATCATAAGAACCAAACATGGACACAGCCCTATGTAGAGCAAAGTTAGCACAAGACGGGGAGGAAGTGGCATCAAATGGATGGACTGTCATCCTATATTCCGACACCTTACCACGACGACCATCATCAAACCACAAGTGATCTCTGTCGCTCTCTGGCACTTTCACTTACGCGAACATTTCCTCTATATCCGCAGTGACAGCAACTGTAAACTTTCTGAATCGTAACAACAATCCAATTAATGAGCTCACGCAATCTGGACCACTATATAGATAATCATCCAAAGAAACTCGGCGTTTTGCAGAACAATCGAACACCACACGGAGTTTACTTGGCTTCCTCGGATTAAAGACAGGATGATGAGGCAAATAACACTTTCCCGGCTCGTTCTGATCAACTAGTCTTTCAACGTAACCCTTCATTATATGTTTATCGACGACATCCTTATATTTGGACCAGAGTTCTGCGTCTGACAGAAATATCTTCTGTAAACCCATTAGTCTCTTAAGAGCAACTTTTCTATTACAAACTAACTGTCTATCTTTAAATCTCCATGATCGGCCAACGCTGAAACGCCCAATTTCGTATTTACAAGACTCCTAAACTATTTTAACTGCCTTTAGATCTTTTACGGAACGACCCTTCTCTGGGACACTGGTGTCACATAACTCCTTGTCATACATATTTCTAATCATAGTCTTCAGTTTGTCCCCATTGTTTGTAACCAATGATGATAGGTGGACTATGGGTATAGTTCCTCTCACTGTCCATCCCAGTGATGTTTTCGTCGCGAACAGATCATCTCTACCTCTGTATCTCTCTTCTAATACCTTGTGAGCTTCTGGTACACTACATCCAATGAGTATTCTCATTCTATTGTCTTGCAGTGTTGGAAACGGTTTAATAATATTAATTTATAATAATAATTTATATTTCGTATAAACGGGTAGGTTAACAAGAAATGCATGCCATTCGTAAAGGCACGATCAGTACTGTTATAAATTACAACCCTGAGGTATCATCATCAACGAATACTAATTCAAAAGTTTAAATTGTTCAATTATTGTACAAGCAATCAAAACAGGTTCTTATAAATGTTAAATTGTAAAAAAACCGTTTACTAAGGTCACCATCAAAGTTGAGCGACAACCCAAACTTCGTTTTGTTTCCTGCTGATAATTATCGTCAACCAGTGAACAGCGTATATCTGGATAAGTGATATGCCGCCACGTGATTGAACGCTATTTCAGGAAGAGAAGAAAATTCTGCGCAGCTGCAAAATGGCATAAAATGCAATTATGAATAATACATTACAGGAAGTATATTTACAAGATATATACAAGAAGAAGAAGCTATGCAGTACTTGAAATCATAGCATATATTTGTAATGTTTAATGCTAACCATATTGGTCTAAGCATGGAAACTATGTTTTGGATTAGGACACAACTTTGCTCAAACAATGGTATTGTTGCGTTTTTAATCAAAGTGACCAGACTTTAGGCAAACAACAAATATGAACAAACAGCTAGTTTTCGATTTAATAATGTCCTCCAGGGTCAGGACCAGATGTTGTCCGCTCACATAACCAAGTAGCCAGTGTTTATCTATTATCCTAGTAAATACTAAATCAGTTCTAAGCTAACACTTAACACTAAGTACATTAGCTTCTATATGAAGACCGTCATTGATTATGACCACTGAAGCCTGGTGCACAAGTGAAATCTCCAATGACAGCCTAAGGATTGATAAATACAACCTTTTTCGAGGGGACAGACAGACAGGTCGTGGGGGTGGGACAATAATTTACTGTGAACAATCCATGTGTGTAACCCAGTTTAATAACCCAATTCTGTCACACCTCAATGACTCGATCTGGGTCGACATAAAAGTTGTCAGAAGTAAACCTATACTTGTAGGTTGTGTGCACCAACCCCCTTCATCCAGTAGGGAATATGGTAATATGCTCAGCAATATTTTTAATCTTACAGCCAATCTTCCCTTCAGTCATATAATTATCGGAGGTGATTTCAACATGCCAGAAGTATCATGCATGGGCTTCACTCCGAGGACCCCAAAGGTATGATAATCTCCTGAATTCCATCGTCACAGGAGGGTGGACACAACACATAAATTCACCCACTAGATCCACAAACATCCTAGACCTTATTTTCACGAACAACAACACCATCTACAGTACATGTGGGACATGAATTTCCAGGTAGTGATCATAAAATAGTAGTGTGTTCTTTTGACATCTTTCCTGAAACAAAACGCAGAGATGAAGCTGGCCAGACACCTTTTGAGATTGCACACACAAGCTGACTGGGATTTGTATCATCACTTAATTAGATGTTCTAATTGGGACTCGTACTTTTCGAACGAGTCCTTAGAGGTAATTCTTAAAAACTTTTATTAGAATATTAACTCAATTCATGACTTCATTGCACCCGAGAAGATTCTTAGCTTCAGATTCCCCCAGAGTGATTATATTCCGACACCGTTAAGAAGTCTATGAAAGCACTCAGTAAAATGCTACAGATATCATAACTTATCATCATTAATTCTTATTACGTCCCTTCTCAATAGAATTGGAGAGTTGAGAAATATAGGCCTCAGAAACAAAGAGATGCGGGTCATTCAGGCACCGCATAACTCAGGAGGAATAGTGAAACTTCTCAAAAGTAGGTTGACGAACTCCAAAACAGCCTATCCGAAAATAATATACTTACGCGGAATTGCTTACGAAAATACTGAGGTGATATGCGAACTGTTTAGCAAGCAATTTCCCAGACTACACACCTTAGAGAGCTACCAGGCTGTAGATTTCCCACGTAAAACAGACGAATGTCTAAGTGGCATACTTTTGACCGCATAAGAGATCGATAAAGCTGTCGCAGATCTTAAACTTAGTAACACTACTAATCCAGACGGATTATTTTCCATTCTACTGAAAAACAGTGGTAATGACATGAATTTACTCCTACTCAAGTTATACTCAATTTCATTAAGCAATGTTACATACCCTACCTTCTGGAAGTTGTATTGTACCTATCCATAAATGCGGGCCTACAGCTAATATAGGCAACTACTGACCCATCAACATCACCTCTCTAGTTTCACGTGCATCGGAAAAGATAGTAAAGGCTCAAATCATTCAGTACTTGCTCTCAAATGACCTACTATCCCCCATCCGAATACTCCTTCTTAAGTGATAGGTCATGTATTACTTGTCACTTAGATTATTTTGACTTCACACAGTGCATATATAATGGGCATTCACTAGCAACATTATTTCTCGACGTTAGCAAAGCCTTTGATAAAGTCCCACACATCAGACTTCTAACAAAACTCCAATCCTACGGGATAACTGGAGGGCTTCTCAAATGGATAAATTCTTTTCACACAGAGAGGGAGCTACTAGTCAAAATCAACCACCAGCTGTCTTCACCAAAGCCGATAACTAGTGGTGTAGCACAGGGAAGCGTTCTATTCCCCTTAATGACATAAATGACAGTCTCTGTGATCAAGTGTGACAAGCCATACCTCTCTGTAAATGATCTCAAGATAGTATGTGATTATGGATACGATGGCATGGGCGCTAAAAGTAAGATCCAACGTTACTTAGACAATCTAGCTGATTGGAGAGAGAGGTGGCAACTGACTTTCAACCCAAACAAGTGCGGTATTGTCCACCTTGGACGCTGGAAACCGATATATATGTACGGTAATGTCCTCTCAAAACTGAATACAATCACAGATCTCGGGATAACATACTCAGATTTAACCTTTTCCGATCATGCAAATAAAGGTTGTATCTGACTGTAAACGACTTACTGGCTTTGTACTGCGTAACTTCTACAACCAAGAAGCAAGATTAGCTATATATAAGACATGTATCCTCTCCAAACCTGAATATTGTTCTCTCCTATTTAGTAACCTAAGGTCTGAAGACCGAAAAAAAGTCGAAAGTGTCCAGATATTCCTCATGAAACGCATAATAGGGTTTGACCAACAAGTGGAATATGTTGACAGTTGTATACGTCTGAAATTAGAACCTCTGTGGTTAAGCAGAGTGAAGTGCAACTTATTTCTACTCTTCAAAGTGATTAAGAAACATTTTTATAGCAACTCATCCATAACGTGGGAAAATATCAAATCATATCAGCTGCTAAACCACGACTACATTGTCAAGATGGCTACCCACAGAAAATCCATTAGGGCAAACGTTTTCGCCATTAAATATTGCGCTCTTTGGAACCAACTACTATCTGAAATTATTATTATTATTGTATCCTTTAGTTCCTAGAGGAACATAGGGCTTCAGCTGCGCACCTCCATTGCCTTCGGTTTCCTGACAACTTTTTCACCCTGCTCCAGGTATGTCCACATGCTTTCATCTCCTCCTCGCATGACCTCCTCCAAGTCACCCTTGGACGACCAACTCGCCGCCTCCCTTTCGGGTTCCACTCGAGGGCTTGTCTAGTGATATCACTTGATGGTTTCCTCAGCGTATGGCCAATCCATCTCCATTTCTTTCTGCCTATTTGCTTCACAATCGGTTCCTGATTGGTTCGCTCCCAGAGATCCCTGTTGCTGATCTTTTCTGGCCATCTGATCTTGAGTATTGAGCGGAGACAGCTGTTAATGAAGGTTTGAAGTTTGTTTGAGATGCTCTTTATGACTCGCCAAGTCTCTGATCCGTATAGTAGCACTGACTTCACATTGGAGTTGAAAATCCGGATCTTATTTTTGATGCTGAGTGCTGTTGACCTCCACACAGACTTGAGATTGATGAAAGCTTGTCTTGCTTTTCCGATTCTGGCTTTGATGTCCTCGTCAGTTCCGCCTGTAGTTGAGACGATGCTTCCCAGGTAGGTGAAGGAGGTTGTTTCTTTCAGGTTCTTCCCACTTATGCTGATTGTTGTCTGTTGTTGTTGTTGCTGTTGGCTAGGAATCTTCATCATCTCTGTTTTATCTATGTTCACGTGAAGTCCTATCTTTGATGCTTCTTCTGCCAACTTGTTACTTTTCACTTGCATATCTTCCAGTTTATGGTAAATCAGACATATATCATCGGCGAAATCCAGATCCTACAAGTCTTTTGTGTCAGTCCATTTTATGCCTGTTCCCTCGTTGGTTGCCGTTGTCTGTCGCATTATCCAGTCAATTGCAATCAGGAAGATCATTGGCGATAGTAGACAGCCTTGCCTCACTCCCGTCCTCACTTCGAAGGCCTCCGTAAGTTTCCCGTTGTGGATTACTTGGCACGCAGCATTTTCGTATAACTGTTGGATGAGATGTATCATTGTTGATGGGACCCCGTAGTAGCGAAGTAGTTTCCAAATGACCTCTCGATCGACGCTGTCGAAGGCCTTTTCAAAGTCGATGAAGTTGAGATAGAGAGGTGACTGCCATTCCAAGCTTTGTTCAATGATGATCCGTAGAGTGGCGATTTGATCAATACATGATTTGTTTCTCCTGAATCCGGCCTGTTCCGGACGAAGTTTTTCATCTAGGGCTTGTTTGATTCTCTCCAGGATGATGCGACTTAGTATCTTGCTTGAAATGGACAGAAGCATAATTCCACGCCAGTTTTTACATTGACTTAAGTCTCCTTTCTTTGGAAGTTTGAATAAGTATCCGTTCTTCCAATCCTCGGGTACTTTGCCCTCTTTCCACACCTTCTCCAGCAGTGGTGTCTGTTGTGAACTTTTCTTATAATACGTATCTAGTCATATTCATATCTCTACCGCTATTAACACTCTTTTTTTCCTTTATATGTTTAAGCCATTCCGGCTTCATTGTTAAATGAATAAAGCCTAAATTCTTGGTTCATTCGTCTTTTCAAGATTCAAGCATCACTCATCGTTCTAAGACTCAATCACCTTCGTAACAGTGTCATCAAGTCCGCTGTTGTCTCTGGGTCTATTTTCAAAGCTTCTGCTGGGATTCCATCTGGTCCCGGTGTTTTCCCAGCTTTAAGCATCTTGATTCCATTCAGGACTTCTGATTTCGTCGGGGGGTCAGTGTTCACTGGTAGTTCTGCTTCCGTTGTTGGTATTGTTGGGCGCGTTGTAGGTGGCGGGCGATTTAGAAGTCTTTTGAAGTGTTCAGCCCAGTGCTTTCTCTGTTCCACCTCTTTGGTGATTGACTTTCCATTGTCATCCTTTATTGGCTTAATCTGTGTCGAACGTTTGCCCGAAAGGTTCCTAGTTGTTTGGTAGAGTGTGGCGAGGTCTCCTTTGCCTGCAGCTTGTTCTGCTTCGTTTGCCATGGTTTCATAATATTTTCTTTTGTCTTCCCTGGCACTCTTCTTCACTCTTTTGTTCAGTGTATTGTAGCTTGCATTCAGCTCCTGTTTTTGTTGCTCATCAGTGCACTGGATAATCTTTTGTTTCACTGTCCTTCTCTCTTCTATTAGTTTCCAAGTGTCCGTAGTGAGCCACTGTTTGTCCTGTCTCTTTTTTCTGCCTAGAATTTCTATGCAGGTTTGGCTCCACAGCGTTTTCAAGTTGTTCCAGTGCTTTTCGACGCTGACCTTTTCGCTGGTGTTGATTTGTATCTCAGCTTTGTCCTTTATGCTTGCAATGAAGATGTCCTTTGTAGCCTGGTCCTTCAGCTTTTGAGTGTTGAACTTGGCTTGTGGTCTATCTGCAGCTCCTGATTCCCTGAAAGCTTTTAATTTGATTTGGATTGTCCCTTGTACGAGATAGTGGTCTGAGCCAACGTCTGCTCCTCTTCTTGCTTTTGTGTCCAGTAGGCTGCGCCTCCACTTCCTTGAGATTGAGATGAAGTCGATTTGGTTTTTGGTTTGCCCGTCTGGTGACACCCATGTAGCCTTGTGGATATCTTTGTGCTTGTATACACTGCCACCAATCACTAGTTCGTTGAAGGCGCAGAAGTCGGCGAAGAGTTCTCCGTTTTCATTCATTTCTCCTTGAGCTTCTCTACCCATGATGAGTTCCCTTCCTGTGTTGTCTGGTCCCAGTTTGGCGTTCATGTCTCCCATTAGTATTTTCATGTCGCCAGCTGGAGTATTGTCCATTGTTGCCTGTAGTTGCCTGTAGAATTCTTCTTTCTTCTCGAGGTCTGCGTTGTTTGTGGGTGCATAACATTGTATGATTGACACTTTCCTTCCTTTGGAGTTGAATCTGGCGGTCATTATCCTGGACGAAATCGCCTCCCATTGTATCAGGGCTTTCGTTGCCGTTGGTGACATCATGATAGCCACGCCCTCGGTGTGCGTGTGGTTATCTTCTGGGTGACCGGAGTAGATCACTGACTCACCCGTTGACAATTTGGTGAGTCCACTCCCATTCCATCTGCTTTCACATATTCCTAGCACTTGTATTCCGTATCTTTTCATCTCGTTGGCGATCTGGGCAGCTTTCCCTGTCTCGTACATAGTTCGGACGTTCCATGTTCCCACACAGACTTTTTCTTTTGGTGCAAAGAGGTTCATTTTGTTGCAGGTTCTGTAGCAACTTTGTTTACAGGGTGGGGTTGCTAGCCTCACGCCTGAGAAAGGAATGATTACATTAAGTTAAAGTTTAGAGAGAAGCGACTTTTTGGGTTGCTCCCCTCAAAATCAGAAAATAACGGACAAACAATGAGAACAACATCAACAAAGGAAACAGTTCACAGAAAAAAGGGCAAAAAGCGACGACAACTATACAATAGGACAACATGCAATATAGTTCAGCACAGTTAACTAAAATGATATCTTAACCATAAACTCACTGACTTGGAGCAACTTGAACATATAAATCCAACAATATATACAATTATAGATGTGTTTATGTTTAAAAATTCCACAAATCCAATTAGTTAGTTATATGTATTATCTGTCAATAAGATTGTATTTTTTGGATTCAGTGTTCGAAAGGTTAATAATTGTGATAGTTTCCGCAAACTCTTGGCATAAAATTTTACAGAAATAAGAGTTTTTATTATTAAGCAAAATGTAGCGTAGTAGTCGATTTCTATTCTCTATAATATTCACTAAGTTGTGTTGGTATAAGTCACTCTGGAAATAATTATATTAGCAACCACACCTCTTAATATTTTACATATGTATACATTTGAATATGGCATTAAGAAGACAAATTTCACGAGATGATATCATTTCGTAGTTCCTTTACAACCGCTTTACAACTAACATGGTTAACAGTAATAAAATAAAAATCATGACAATTACTCAGTTAAATAAAAAACAAAAGTACATATTAATGACCAATAATATTTAGATAGGTCATGTTGTCCATGGTAGGCGAAGATTGAAGTCTATTGTTTTTTGTACACACAGTTTAGACTGCATGTGATTAATTCAAAGTGCTTCCATCACCTTCAATAACTTTGAATTAGAGTTATGTGAAATAATTGTGAAACGCTCATTAATATTGATTTTTTGACCTGACATTATCAAGTGTTGATGATGCTGGATTTCTATTCAGGCTAATCGCGTTGGGATTTTCTATATGTCTTAGTAACCATTTTTGAAAATGTTCTTTTCGACGACATTGGAACATTCGGTTGGTTCTACCTATATAGATGTTACCGCAACTACAGGTGAACTTGTAGATACAGTTTGAAGTAGAGTCCACAGAATTTCGTCTTTTAATCGTAGGTACAGGGATCGAAAATGTTCAGTAAGTGAAAAAAAGAGATGCGACGTAGAATGTGCGTTTGATGGCTGACCAAAGTCTGAGCTGTCAATTGCATAATCTGGTCGCCCTTGAATGGTAGGTTAATAAAGATAGCTTCCTTTGGCACAGAAGCTGTCTTTTCGAGATGTGGTTTCCCTTCACTGTGACAAGTGATAAAGTTCTCCGGATAACCATTAGCTAATACAACTGAAAGTATATGTCGAAACTCATCCATCAATGTGTCACTCGTGCATATTTTTCGGGCCCTTGAGAACAAACATTTCACTAGGGAACGTTTATACTGGATAGGAACAAAACTGGTAAAATGAAGATATTGTCCACTCCATGTCTGTTTACGAGAAATAGTTCGTTGAATCGTTCCATCATCTCTCCTAGTCAAAGTGATATCCAGGAAACCGAGTTTGTTATTCGATTCTAGTTCGGAAGTGACTCGGATATTTGGATGAATATGATTAAATAGGGTAATAAAGTTTTCAATGGATTTACTATTATTACCCATAATGAGAGTATCATCTACATAACGTTTATACAGCATAAATTCTCCAAGCATTCCTTGCATTTGTCTCTCCAATTTCGACATGAAAATATCTGCTAACATGGGCCCAAGAGGACTCCCCATCGATTTGTTTGTATGTCTTTTCTTGGAGGGTGAATCTGATATTTCCTGTACACATTAAGATGATGTATCTGATGTAAGTTATAGGAATAGGTAAGTTTATCTCATTGCTCGTGATGTAATCCCAAATGTGAAATCAACAGTTTCATGAAGAGGAACATTGGTGGTGAATAAAGATTCTATTTCGACTGAACACATAACCTTTTCCTTAATGTTCAAGGTGTCTAAGCATATCTGTCAGATCAAATGAACTTTTTACAGAATGGTTTGATAATGAGTCTCTTACAGGCGTAAGGACCTCTGTAATCCATTTGGCGATTTTATCATATGGAGAATTCGACATGTCTAAGATGGCTCTCAGTGGGTTCCCAGTTTTGTGGATCTTCGGAAGGCCATAAAGCCGGGGAGTATTTGACCCTATTGCTTTAAGTTGTTTATAAAGTTTTTCATTTATAAAAACACGCATCAGTAAAATCTGAAGCTGACGATTGATCTGCTTTTCCACAAGCAGCATATTATCAGTAGCATTTTCCACCGGAAATTTGGACTGATCTTTGAGGATATCATTCATTTTATTTTGATAATCCAATTTGTCCATAATGACGACGCCTTCTCCCTTATCAAGGTTAAGGATAATAAGATTATCTTTTTAGATTAATTCCTTAAGTGAAGCGGCATGGTGTTCTTTTGATAAACCATTTTTCTGGTGTATTCGAGCATTTAGAAATTGATGGGAAATGTCCACCAGCTTAACTTTAAACCAGTCCAGATTATCTTTACTGGAAGGAGTTAAATCAGATATTTGATCATAGAGGTTTGCATACTGTGACTGGACTTCCATTTTGTTTATTTTCATAGGAATAGTTTTGTACTTCAATCCATAAGATAATGCTTCCAACTGTAAATGGGATAGAGTGCAGGTAGATAAATTAATTATATGCTCGTGGATATCTTGAGGAAATTCCAAAATAGGATTCGTGGCTTTCAAAGATTTTGTTAATTTTTCTTCGATGGAACTTATGGTCTTTTTTACCATTCCATTGCAAAATACAGTGAATTTAATTCGACATACTAGAGATAAATTATACATAACGGGAATTAGTCTTCGGTGTTAGTCACTAATTTCATCTTGCATCTTTCTGAATTAGAAATTGATGAAATTACTGACAAACTTTTGAGATTTATAGAAACACACCAAAGACTAATTCCCTTTATGTATAATTTATCTCTAGTATGTCGAATTAAATTCACTGTATTTTGCAATGGAATGGTAAAAAAGACCATAAGTTCCATCGAAGAAAAATTAACAAAATCTTTGAAAGCCACGAATCCTATTTTGGAATTTCCTCAAGATATCCACGAGCATATAATTAATTTATCTACCTGCACTCTATCCCATTTACAGTTGGAAGCATTATCTTATGGATTGAAGTACAAAACTATTCCTATGAAAATAAACAAAATGGAAGTCCAGTCACAGTATGCAAACCTCTATGATCAAATATCTGATTTAACTCCTTCCAGTAAAGATAATCTGGACTGGTTTAAAGTTAAGCTGGTGGACATTTCCCATCAATTTCTAAATGCTCGAATACACCAGAAAAATGGTTTATCAAAAGAACACCATGCCGCTTCACTTAAGGAATTAATCTAAAAAGATAATCTTATTATCCTTAACCTTGATAAGGGAGAAGGCGTCGTCATTATGGACAAATTGGATTATCAAAATAAAATGAATGATATCCTCAAAGATCAGTCCAAATTTCCGGTGGAAAATGCTACTGATAATATGCTGCTTGTGGAAAAGCAGATCAATCGTCAGCTTCAGATTTTACTGATGCGTGTTTTTATAAATGAAAAACTTTATAAACAACTTAAAGCAATAGGGTCAAATACTCCCCGGCTTTATGGCCTTCCGAAGATCCACAAAACTGGGAACCCACTGAGAGCCATCTTAGACATGTCGAATTCTCCATATGATAAAATCGCCAAATGGATTACAGAGGTCCTTACGCCTGTAAGAGACTCATTATCAAACCATTCTGTAAAAAGTTCATTTGATCTGACAGATATGCTTAGACACCTTGAACATTAAGGAAAAGGTTATGTGTTCAGTCGAAATAGAATCTTTATTCACCACCAATGTTCCTCTTCATGAAACTGTTGATTTCACATTTGGGATTACATCACGAGCAATGAGATAAACTTACCTATTCCTATAACTTACATCAGATACATCATCTTAATGTGTACAGGAAATATCAGATTCACCCTCCAAGAAAAGACATACAAACAAATCGATGGGGAGTCCTCTTGGGCCCATGTTAGCAGATATTTTCATGTCGAAATTGGAGAGACAAATGCAAGGAATGCTTGGAGAATTTATGCTGTATAAACGTTATGTAGATGATACTCTCATTATGGGTAATAATAGTAAATCCATTGAAAACTTTATTACCCTATTTAATCATATTCATCCAAATATCCGAGTCACTTCCGAACTAGAATCGAATAACAAACTCGGTTTCCTGGATATCACTTTGACTAGGAGAGATGATGGAACGATTCAACGAACTATTTCTCGTAAACAGACATGGAGTGGACAATATCTTCATTTTACCAGTTTTGTTCCTATCCAGTATAAACGTTCCCTAGTGAAATGTTTGTTCTCAAGGGCCCGAAAAATATGCACGAGTGACACATTGATGGATGAGTTTCGACATATACTTTCAGTTGTATTAGCTAATGGTTATCCGGAGAACTTTATCACTTGTCACAGTGAAGGGAAACCACATCTCGAAAAGACAGCTTCTGTGCCAAAGGAAGCTATCTTTATTAACCTACCATTCAAGGGCGACCAGATTATGCAATTGACAGCTCAGACTTTGGTCAGCCATCAAACGCACATTCTACGTCGCATCTCTTTTTTTCACTTACTGAACATTTTCGATCCCTGTACCTACGATTAAAAGACGAAATTCTGTGGACTCTACTTCAAACTGTATCTACAAGTTCACCTGTAAGTTGCGGTAACATCTATATAGGTAGAACCAACCGAATGTTCCAATGTCGTCGAAAAGAACATTTTCAAAAATGGTTACTAAGACATATAGAAAATCCCAACGCGATTAGCCTGAATAGAAATCCAGCATCATCAACACTTGATAATGTCAGGTCAAAAAATCAATATTAATGAGCGTTTCACAATTATTTCACATAACTCTAATTCAAAGTTATTGAAGGTGATGGAAGCACTTTGAATTAATCACATGCAGTCTAAACTGTGTGTACAAAAAACAATAGACTTCAATCTTCGCCTACCATGGACAACATGACCTATCTAAATATTATTGGTCATTAATATGTACTTTTGTTTTTTATTTAACTGAGTAATTGTCATGATTTTTATTTTATTACTGTTAACCATGTTAGTTGTAAAGCGGTTGTAAAGGAACTACGAAATGATATCATCTCGTGAAATTTGTCTTCTTAATACCATATTCAAATGTATACATATGTAAAATATTAAGAGGTGTGGTTGCTAATATAATTATTTCCAGAGTGACTTATACCAACACAACTTAGTGAAGATTATAGAGAATAGAAATCGACTACTACGCTACATTTTGCTTAATAATAAAAACTCTTATTTCTGTAAAATTTTATGCCAAGAGTTTGCGGAAACTATCACAATTATTAACCTTTCGAACACTGAATCCAAAAAATACAATCTTATTGACAGATAATACATATAACTAACTAATTGGATTTGTGGAATTTTTAAACATAAACACATCTATAATTGTATATATTGTTGGATTTATATGTTCAAGTTGCTCCAAGTCAGTGAGTTTATGGTTAAGATATCATTTTAGTTAACTGTGCTGAACTATATTGCATGTTGTCCTATTGTATAGTTGTCGTCGCTTTTTGCCCTTTTTTCTGTGAACTGTTTCCTTTGTTGATGTTGTTCTCATTGTTTGTCCGTTATTTTCTGATTTTGAGGGGAGCAACCCAAAAAGTCGCTTCTCTCTAAACTTTAACTTAATGTAATCATTCCTTTCTCAGGCGTGAGGCTAGCAACCCCACCCTG